ATTTTTAAAATAAAATATAAAAAAATAAGCATTCCAGGGTAATTCATTTTCTCTATTGATTCTCCCTCTTCCATCATTAATTCCTTTTTCTTGGACATAGTAATATATCAAACTTTGCAGATGCTCCCCACCCCTTCTCTCTCTTGATTCTCTCTATGCCACCATGACGTTTTGGCCTCAAAAGTAGTGAATTCTCCCTCATTTCTCCTCTGATGTAGATGCTCTAAGTAATTATCAACACCTTTAAATTTCCATAAATGTATATAAATATAAATGGCAGTAAAATGATTCAAAATTACTATTGAATGTCAAGTACTTTGTAGTCTAATAACATCAATTTTAATTAAAAAAAAAAGTTTCAAAGTCCATGTCCCACTTCAATAAAAGTTGTCATTATGTTAAATAATATTACTAATGGTCCGTTTAGAAACCCAAAAATGACTTCTGGAAAATGTTTTCTGGATTTCAAGTGTTTGGATGCAATAGGAAAATCCAATCAACGGAAAATATTTTCCGTTGACTGAGAAAAATGAAGGAATTTTGGCAGAAAATGACTTCCGCCAAAATTTGAAGGAAGTCATTTTTCGCCAACACTCAAAACATGATTTCCGCCGGAAACAGGCGGAAACGATTTTTTTTTTATATATAAATAATATTATTATAAATATTTTTATATTCTAAATAAAATATTTAAAATGTTTTTTTTTTAAACCAACCAATCAATGATTGTAATAATGAATCAAAGCTGCAATAGAGTCAGGAGGGATAGAATCCCAATACATAAACTGGTCCTGTGTAAAAGCTAAAGAAGCTAAAGTATGAGCATGTGAATTAAAGTGCCTAGATACGTAACTTAATGAGCAATAATTAAAGGAAGCCATGGCCACCCTACATTGGTCCACTACAACCCCAAGATATGATAGAATATTCGCTGATTCCTGGCGTAGAACGTTTCGTAGCTCCATACAATCCGTGAGAAGGTCCACCGATGTTACATCTTTCTCCAACAACCAAGATATGGTTTCTTTACATGCTAGGGCCTCTGCCATAAGTGGCGAAAAACAAGCCGGTAACCTTCCACTTCGTGTTGCCGTAAACTCGTCGTCCGACGAGAGAAGGACAATACCAAAGGTAGCCTCCCTGGTTGCGTGTCGGAACCCTGCATCCACGAAGCATCTCGGCCTGCCGTGACCACCGCTCGGTGCTGCTAGAGCCTTCGCGGGTTGAGGAGGACGTTGGTTGGCCTTCTGGAATGCACTCAAAGCCGCGGCCGCCTTCTTCCATGCGCCGGCGGGTGGAGGGAGGGCGCCGTCCCAGACTGCGGAATTGCGGCATCGCCACAATTGATATAGGATTGCCACCATAAGAGCACTTTGTTCTTCTGTTAACATTGCAAACGCACCAGTTAGCCATGCTTGGAATAAACCGGTAATGATATTTGTTATAGGCAGTCCTGAAACATTCCAAACAAGTCTAGAATATTCACAGGTAACTAAAGCATGCATAACATCTTCATTAGCCAAACCACACATTTGGCATGTTGGGCTCCACCTCCACCCTCCCTATAATCAAATTATTAGTTATAGGGAGAATATCACAAATTGCTCTCCACAGGAAGGTCCTCCATTTTGGGAGAACCCTCATCTTCTACACAGTAGTCCATTTATCAAAATCGCCGGCAGCATGCACATAATTCCCCATAATATTCCTGTAGGCATTCTTAACCGTATAAACTCCCCTAGGGTCACCCAGCCAATACCATGAGTCCTCATATCTGGGGCTTATTGGAATTCTATTAATACGAGTCACATCCTCCTCATCAAGCATTAGTCTGTGGAACAATCAAACCTGCCACCCGGGCTTCTCTCAGTTCCTCAAGCATGTTTGTTTGTATAAGGGGGCTAGGATCATCTGGTAACCATGGATATCCCCATATCAATGTTGCTTCACCATTACCAATCCTTCTACGGACTCCTGCTACAACCATATCATGTGCTGCCATAATACTTCTCCAAGAATAACTTGGGCAATTTCCTACCTTGGCACAACAAAATAGGTATTAGGAAAATAACGTGCCTTATAAATCTTTGCAACAAGGGAGCTGGGGTTTGTGAGAAAACGTCATGCTTGCTTTCCTAGCATAGCCAAATTAAATCCCCTGAGATCCTTAAAATCCAAACCACCAAACTTCTTAGGGACACATAATTTATCACATGCTTTCCAGTGTATCCCCTTATCCACACCAGTACCCCACCAATATCTGTTCATAGTCCTTTGGATTGATAAGAAAACTATGTCAGGAAGTAAGAAAACACTCATTGAAAAGGTAGGCATTGACTGTGCTACACTTTTCAACAAGACCTCCTTATCTGCTTGTGAAAGTATTTTCTTGTTCCACGAACCAACCCTCTGTTTGATTTTATCCTCAATATAAGAAAACATCGCTCTCCTATTCCTCCCAATAAAAGATGGTAGACCCAGGTATTTCACAAAGTTGGGTGCCTAATCAACCTGCAAACACGCCGCTACGACTTCTCTGGTGTTTTTACTAAAACATACTCCCTCTGTCCCATTTTGCATGTCTTACTTTCCTTTTTAGTTTGTTCCAAAATGTTGTCCTCTTTCCAAAATTGAACATCACCATCATTCTACTTTTTCCCAAATTACCCTTATGACTTTTGCTTTTATTTCCAAAAGTGAAAAAGTGAAGGGCATAATTGGAAAATACATATCATTTACTTTAATTCCTTAAAAAGCGTGCAAAAAGCAAATGAGACAACCAATTCGGGACGGAGGGAGTATATTAGATTTATGATAATTCACCTTCTGTCCTGACAATTCCTCATAGCGCCCCAAGTAGTGCTTTATCACATTTGCCTCCTGAGCATTTGCCTTAAAGAACAACAGGCTATCATCTGCAAAAAAAAAAAGAAAAAAAAAAAAAAAAAAAAAAAAAGATGTGATATAGGGGGGCCCCTCTAGCCACCCTACAATCATGTATAGAGCCAGCCATCTCAGCCCTCTGCAACAACATAGACAATCTCTCTACACAAATAATGAATAAATATGGGGAAAATGGATCTCCCTGTTTGAGGCCCCTGGTTGGAGTCAATCTGCCACTATTAACACCATTGACCACAATATTATACTGAACTGTAGTAACACATTGCATTATTAGATTAATCCAACTATCATCAAACCCATAATCTCAAGCATTCTACGCATGAACTGCCATTCCATCTTATCATATGCTTTTGCCATATCCAACTTCAAGGCTCCCCAACCTGTCAAACCACACTACTTCCTATTTAAATAATGCCCCACCTCTGCAGCTATAAGAATATTATCAGTAATTAGCCTTCCAGGAATAAATGCACTCTGGGATTCCGAGATTAGATCCCCCATAAGCGGTTTCATTCGATTGACTATTACCTTAGCCATAATCCTATACAACACATTACTGAGGGCAATCGACCTCATATTAGCGACCGTCTCAGGCACATTCTTTTTAGGGATTAAAATCACATTTGTATCATTTAATCCTTCAAGGAATGAACCAGAACTCAAGCAATCTATAATAAACTCAGAGACATCCCTGCCAACTATATCCCAAAACTGTTGGTTAAACCCAGGGTTCATACCATCCGGTCCTGACGCTTTGTTAGGAAACATTGCAAATAAAGCACTCTTGACCTCCTCAAAATCAAATGGTCGTAACAAAGCAATATTTTGTTCATGAGTCACACGAGGGGTAAAACTATCAAACATAGGATCCTCACACATAGAATTAGAAGAGGTAAAAATATCCGCATAGTAATCCAAAATAACCCTCTTCATATTTTCCCCATGTACCCAAACACCAGCATCATTCTTTAATATAGGAATAAAATTCGTTCTTTTACGGGCAGAGACATATCTGTGATAAAACATCGTGTTGGCATCCGCCCCACAAAGCCAGTGTTGTTTAGCACGCTGTCTCCAAAACACATCCTCCTGAACCTCCAACTGGCCAAGCCTCTCCTCCAGCGGTCAAAACTCAGCCAATGCAGTTGAATCCCACCGATGTCGTAGTGCGTTCCGTTCCTTTCTCAACTGCTTCATGCGGTCACCAAATTTATGCCAGTGCTCCCCACCCCACCGCATGAGCCCACCGCCACAATGTTGCTGACAATTCAGCAACCCCGGTCACTACCATCCTGCCAGGCAGTCTCCACCACATCCCTGCAACCCCCATCATGGACCCAGGCCATCTCGAACCGAAACCCTCTCGGCTCCCCTTACCTGTGCACCGTTGTTATATTAGTGTTCAGAAAGAGAACCAAGTGATTCGAGCTACGAGTCTGGATATTTTCAACCCAAGCTCCACCGTGCATATCAGTCCATTGCGTCGTTACCAACACCTTATCCAGTTTTTCCTCTATCCATGTATCAGTTCACCCCCCCCCCCCCCCCCTCTCCCATGTGAACTGATGCCCCCTTATCGGTAATTGGAGCAAGCCACAGTTATCTATCGTTTCCCCAAAACCTCTCATAAGACTATCCGGATGTGGGTTCCCCCCCTCTCTTCTCTTGCTGATACAGAAGATCATTAAAGTCCCCCACTATGACCCATGGTAGTGCAGACTTACCTTTCAATCCACTCAATAACTGCCAGGATTATCTTTGTCTACACCTCTGTGGATATCCATAAAAACACGCCATACGCCATACCTCCTCCCTTATAGCAACCTCCACATCCACGTAGTTCTTTGAGTAACTCAACAACCTAGCTGTATTATTCTTCCTCCATAACAGTGCCAAGCCACCCCCCACACCTACACTGTCCACATAGAACAAGCCTTCAAAACCAATCTTAACACGTAGTCTCTCTGCATGCATTCGTCCCACTTTAGTTTCCATTAAGTATACGAAATCGGGCTTCTTGCGGGACACAAGGTCCACTAACTCTCGAACTGTCCGTGGATTGCCCAAGCCACGGCAGTTCCAGCTTATGGTATTCATCATGAGGGGCGGGCCTGAACAACAGGACCCGCCGTAAACCCATTTTTTGGCACATCTGTCATTATCACATCTTCCCTATCCACCCCCGACCGCCCCTCCTCCACATCCGCCTCCCTCTTCCTCTTCGATATTGCCACCACCGCCCCCTCACCTCCCCTCCCTACCCCTGGCCGTACGGCCTCTCCCTCACCAGAACCCGAGACCATCCCCCTCCCTTCCTGCACCGCCACACTCCTCCCCTTACCCTCTAGTGGAATCAACCATGGCTCTCCAACTTGCTGCGGCCCCCGACTACCACCCCCTGCCTTTAACTCGGCCGTGTATGGGAATTGATCAGAAGTTAACCCCGACTTTCTTGCCAGCTTACAGAACTTATGTGAGTGCCCCAATAAACCACAATAAAAGCAGAAGCTATGTAGTCGTTCATATCGAAAACTCACCCAACAGCTCGGTTTGTCCCGTTTAATGAGCTTCATTCTTCGTTTCAATGGCTTGTCAACCAGGATTGAGACTCGGACCCTGTGAAACGTTTTCCACTGTGCCCCTGCAAAACGATCATCTACCTTAACAAACGAACCAATAAAATTGGCTGCTTGCTCAAGCACCACATCCGACGTATAGCCCAATGGCAAATCATACAACTGCACCCACATATCCACAGAGTTAAGCTCCACCTCCGTCGGCCGAACTCTCGCCCCGACCTGCCGGCATACCAGGGTGTTATTATCAAACAACCACGGCCCTTCATCGAGCACCCTCCGCATATCAGTTTCGTCGTAGAAGACAAACATGAATCTGCCCGGCTGAAACTTCGTAGTTTGCATTCCCCACACTGGCTGCCATACTGAAGCCATGACTTGCCTCATGTATTCAAGTTTGATCACCTTGGACGTCAAGAAATGCCCTATGCATACCCACGGCCTCTCCTCCTCCGCCGCGACCACGCCGACCTCCTCCTCCTCCTCCTCCAACACCATGTCCGCCCAGCGTTGTGTTAGTCGTGCTATGGTTTCGTCCGTTCGGTCCTGGGACGATGCTCCCGCCGCCTCGTCTTCAGTGTTTGTCGTCGCCATAGCAAGGTAGCAGTCGCCCGATGTCGTTCGCTGCTGCCGCGATAATCCGGTGAGACACCATCATGAGAAGTATCGGAGATCACCAGAAACCCTAGGAGAAACCCTAGTAAAGAGACCAAAGCTCTAGAGAGAGAAAAAAACTTTTATATATTTAAAATGTTTAATTATACAATTCTACTCATTTTTTAGAAAATGAACCAAACACAACAAGACAGTTTCCATAATGCAACCAAACAATGGAAAGGAAACTAGAAAATGACTCAGTTTTTATAAAAATAAAATAAAAAAATTGCAGAAGTTATGTTCCTACTTTTCAAACGGACTCAATATGTTCATAACATCTGTACTTATTTATACTCTCTCCGTTTCATTTTATGCGTCGGGTTCGCTTAACCAATTCATTTTTTTATAATATTAAGTTTATTATTAGTATGCAAATTTTATATATTTAGAAATTACATCAAAAGTACTATTAAATACAAGATTCAAATTTAAAAATAAGTAAAAAATATTAAAGAAAATAAATAAAAATAAAATAATTGATTTTATTAATGAATAGTAAGTAGAATATGGTCCTGTTTGGTAAATGGTTGTTAGTTGTTAGCTGATTGTGTTAATTAGAGTGTATATTTAGTTGATAGCATTAGCTGATTGTAGAAAAGTGTTTGGTAAATTAGCTATTAACTGTTTGATACGGAGTATATTTTTTCTTCTCAAAAAGCTAATTAAAAAAGTTATTTTGAATCGATTTTTACATTTTAGCATTTTGAAATACTAAAATTAATTAACCAAACACTAATATTGATTTTTAAACCAAACAAAACAACTAATAATAGTCAAATAAATTAAAATTAACCTATAAACTAACTATTTTATCACATTATATAAAATGAGATTGGGGGTATATATTAAGAATCTCATAATGGAGTAAGAAGAGGATTAAGGTTGAAACATTATCCGACAAGATTTTGAATTATGGTAGCAAATAGCAATGTATGTATAATAACGTGATAACAACGACAATCAATCTAATTTTCAAAAAAAAACGGCAATCAATCTTTGGGTTGGCTTTGGGTTTTGTGTGTTTGAAACATGGGAGACCGAGCTTCTTCCTCGGAATACTTAAACCCTACTTTTACGTTACGTGAATTGATGTTGACCAAAGACTGTTCGTCTGCAGTTACCATTTCTTGGAATTTTCTTCACAATTACTCTCTCCTACACTTCTACGTTCTCGTAGTCTGTCTCATGCATGTCTTTTTCCTACATCATTTTTCTTTTTGTTTTGTTTTTTGATGAATTTTGGGTTCAAAATTTTATACACCACGTTGGGACTCTTATTTACTTTGTTCAAAGTTTGGATATTTGTGAAATTTTTTAAAATCTTTTTTTGTCATGTTAATGAGCGTGTATTAAGTTGGGTTTTTTGTTTTTTGTTTTTTTTGTTTTTTGTTTGTTTGTTTGTTTGTTTGTTTGTTTTTTTTTTCTTTTTTTTTTTTTTGGTGTGATTTACTAGTTATTATAGAGAAATAGAGGGGTTGTTTACCAACTTGAAAAAATGGAGGATTTTTCAAAAAATAAAAAATTGAGAAGTGGAAAAAATAAAAATGGGAGAAGTTGTTTACTAAATTTCTTCTTCCAAATGTTTAATTCTTCTTCATTTTTTCACTTTATGTACAATTTTGGAGAGAACAAATTTGGGCTTCTCCAAATTGGAGGGATGGAGGGGAAACACGAGTGAATAGTAGCAATATATGCCAAGAGGTTGGCTGTTCGAATCCTGTTGTTGCAGTAAGGCATGTGCATCAGACGGGTTCGGGTTCGCGGAAGGCTAATCCGTTCGGACTTCGGATACCCTATACTAGCACCTAACTATTTTTTTTACCACCTAATTCCGTCGGATATTCTTCCGAATTACCGTTCGGATATCCGACTCAACTGTCGGATAGATCGGTTATTGTTGATAAAAGTGTAATTGCAAAAATAATAAATTTATTTAACAAAAAGAACTAATTTTTAAAACTTAACCACTTAAGTAGTCTAAACTACAAAACTACTTAAGTAGTAAGTGTGTTATACACTTCACAAGTTCACAGTTACAACTTACAAATTAAAATTTACATTCATAACTCATAAGCATTTACTGATTACAGACTAACTGACTAAGCAATTAAGCATACAAAAACACAAAATAACTAAACTTGAAAGTCCAAATGTCCAATGTCCAAACTCCAAAGTCCAAGCCACCAAGCCTCAGCAGTCAGCAGTCAGCAACTCAGCATTCATCAAAAAGAATACCAGTAGGCAGTAGACCCTAATAATATGATAATAACCTAATAATATGATAATAACCTATTTGGTTATTCCTCTTCCTGATAAGTAAAAACACAAAACTTTTATAAGCTTTAAAATATATAAACAATTGAATATGAGATGAATACATTATACATTATAGATAATTTAAAAATTGTATATAGAGTGCTCAGGTTGCTATTTTTCCAGATCAACCAAGGATTGGGGGAAATTGCTCAATATGAGTATGGCACAAAATACCACACTACATAGGCAACATGCCAAACCCAATTCTATATATTCAGATAACATGGTGGAAGCATCATCATTGCACATTTGCACAAGGGGCCAAAGACAATTAAGTAATTAACAATAAGTCAATAACAGAGATATGGATACTTGAGAGAAGTGAAGCCATATACATTACCATTTTACCAGACACCATTAATCATTCAGGTGCCAAGTGCTCAATGGCAACAACATTTAAAATGTCACCAAGCCATTGAACACTTTCCAATTCCATTGCCCAGCCAAGGAATGAGGGCCTGAGGGACATTGATATTTGATGCACATACACTGTAACACTGATGCAGTCATACACACATATCATATAATAATCATTGATCAAATATCAAAATAAATACAGAAATGCTTTATGGAATAAAAGTTATAAGTATATAACCATACAGGTATTGTAGGCAATAATCCAACTCCAGTTAGGCCTGTGCTGCACAACTCTGCAAAAAGAAAAAAAAAACACAAGTATAATTAAAAGAAGTATTAATTTATAATAAATATTTATAAATTCTAAGTTAAAATGTAAATTTAAGAGATTTACCTTTCTCAATCCTTTCAACATCTTCAATATTTTCTTCAACAGAGATTGGTTGATTGGCTAACCTCAACCAATCCTGTGCACACACAAGTGCCTCAACAATCTTAGGAGTTAGGGAACTCCTAAAGGCATCTAGTACTCTCCCACTGGTACTGAATGCTGATTCAGATGCAACAGTAGAGATTGGAACAGTAAGTACATCCCTTGCCATTTTAGATAACACAGGGAACCTATCAGAATTCAGCTTCCACCATCTTAGAAGGTCAAAAGAATCATCATCATCCATAATGACCTCAGACAAATACACCTCAAACTCAGTTTTTTTCATTGACAAATCACCAGTACCCAATTTTTGTTTCTTAATCTGGGATTTCAATAATGCTTGAGGTTTCCCAATAGAAACACAATCAGAAATTATAACTGAAGGGGCTAACTTGGCAGAATTTTCAGGAACAGACTGGGCAGGAAAACAGGACACATAATCTTGAAATAACTCCTTAAGGCCAACAACAACCTTATCAAACATTGTTTTACCTTTGTCCTCACCATATAACTGGGTAAACTGAATGGGCATATATTCTATTTTGTCCCTGGGGTCTAAGATATTTGCATAGAATATGAGAAAGTTCATTTTTCCAGGCTCACCCCAATACTTATCAAACTTTGCCCTCATATTTGTACCCATCAGTTTAACACTGCCATCAGCTTCCACCATATTACTTAACAAGCAAAACAGATCAGAAATCTCAGAGAAAAAAGTATTAGAAGTCACATACAGTGAACCAGAAATTCTAACAGTCATTTCATAAAAAGATTTTAGAATCTGTACCAAACCAGAAATGGTTTCCCAATCCATGAAGTTAGGTATATTATTCATACCCAAATTAGATTTAAATCCACTGTCTGAGCTTGCATACTCTTCAAAGACTTTCTCATACAACAAAGCAGCACTCAGCATCATATAGGTGGAGTTCCACCTTGTAGGAACATCAAGACACAAAGACTTCTTGGCTTCCACCCCCATTACATCAGCTAGCTCCCTAAACCTTTGAAGCCTAGCAGGTGAGCTTCTCACATACCTAACAGCATCCCTCACTTTTTTAACAGCACTATCAGATTCTTTCAACCCATCCTGTACCACCAAGTTAAGGATGTGAGCAATGCACCTCATATGCAAGTACTTACTCCTAACAGCAGTACAACCCCATGACACAAACTTTTTCTTTAAGAATCCTAGGGCAGTATCATTGCTAGAAGCATTATCAACTGTGACACTGAAAACTGATTTTAGACCCCAGTCAATAAGACAACTTTCTAAAGCCTTTGCAATACTTTCACCCTTGTGGGAATAGATAGGAACAAATGAAATGATTTTCTTTTGGAGCTTCCACTCACTGTCAATGAAATGTGCAGTTATGCACATGTAGTTTATTCTCTGAACTGGGGTCCATGTATCAGTTGTGATACTAACCCTCTGACTACTAGTCCTAAAGAACTTCTTCAAGTTGAGCCTCTCATCAGAAAAAATCTTTAAAATGTCCCTACTGATAGTCCATCTTGAAGGGATTTTAAACCTAGGACAGCAAACAAACACAAACTTTCTAAACCCCTGTCCCTCAACTATCCTAAAAGGCAATTCATCCAGAATAATCATCTCAGCTAAGGCTCTCCTTATCAAGTCTTGGTCAAATACCCAATTACCTAACACCCCTTCTGATCCTTCACTACTTTCAGTTCCAGCAGAAGAAGGTTCACGTTGGAAAGTAAGCAAGGACTACCTTGTATCCTTAGACTGAGGATTTTTAAGGCAGTTTACCACGTGAAGCCTGAGAGAAGAAGTCCCATGTTTCTTGGACTCACAACAATATATCCTAGCACAATATAAACATTTTCCCTTGACAACAATGCCCTCAGAGTCTTTGATCTTTTCAAAGTGATCCCATACAGGAGATCTGGTCTCAACCACTTTCCTTTTCTTAGGAACAGGTGGAGGCAAAGGCTGCTGAGACTGAGATGTATTTGTCTCTACAACTGTGGCTTCCACCTCAGGTTGACTTCCAGATAAACCACTAATACTTTCCATCTAAAAAAAGGAAAGTATCAGTGAATGGGAAATCACTAAGGGAAAATCATCAACAACTATGGACATAGGTATCAAGCATGAACATTACCACATATATTCATATAATTACTTTCAGTTAATTTCACATGTCATCATGTATGCAGAATTGCACATAAACGATTTAAGGGTCACATATCCATAAACTTAATACAATTTACAATTTACAAAGAAATCCATATTCAGGCATTCAAGCTAAGTGGAATAGTGGATGTATGCCACTTCATAATGCTCATTATCTATATGGATTTCACACACATGGGCTAGGGCTTCCACCAGATTAAGGACAATTAACCCTTTAAGCCTTTAACTCCTTTAAGGGACAACACAGTTAGTCAGTTACACAGATTAAGCTTCCACCAACAGATCACAAATTAGTGACAAGTGAGTAAGTGACATGCAATCTGGAACTTCTCAACAGATCACAACATCACAGTCCATACAAATTAGTGAATCACAATCACATAAACCCTAATCAAACTATCAAAGTATCACAAATTAGAGACAAGTGACATGTAATATGGAACTTCTCAACAGATCACAACATCACAGTCCATACAAATCAGTGAATCACAATCACATAAACCCTAATCAAACTATCAAAGTATCACAAATTAGAGACAAGTGACATGTAATCTAGAACTTCTCAACAGATCACAACATCACAGTCCATACAAATCAGTGAATCACAATCTATAAGAGTATAAGAATATAATCTAAGTATCTAACAATCTAAAAGACTAGGGTTTAGAAAATAGAGATTACTTCGTTTCTCTAAATTAAACCCCCGAGAACAAAGGGCTTCGATTCCTAGCCAGCGAACTGCAATCCACCGGAGTATCGCTTCCACCGGAGACTCGCTTCGACTCAGACTCTCAGAGGTCAGGAGCTACCGCCTACCAGAAACGAATGGGGCTTGAGGGCTTCCACCGGAGAATAATAGCTTCCACACTCCAAACAATCACACTCTCAGAGACTAGAGAAACTGAGATTCTGAGAACTGAGAGTTCTCTGGAAGAAGGGAACTAGAGACTTTGAGAGAACTAGGGTAGAGAGAAGAGAGAAGCCAGAGAGTTCTCTGGAAGAAGGGAAGAAGCGAAGACTGAAGAGCTGTGCAAATGAGACTAGGGTTTGCGAGTTCTCCGCTCCTTCTTCTATATATACTTAGGCTACACGACGTTGCATTACATAGCTTATACGAAGGCTTAGTCTAAGTCGGGTAGTCGGACGAGTTCGGGTGGAAAATATACCCCCCCTCCCCGACCTAATTAAACCGGCGTCGTTCTACGCCTCGGTTCGGTTTTGGCTTCTCAGGTTCAGTTTTCGATCCATTCTTGTGTGTCGGATTCGGATCGGTCGGGTTGGGCGGGTTATGCACAGGCCTAGCTTCAGTATTCTTCCGGCTTTCCTTTCTCTCACTCAAACTCCTACTATTATTATTATTATTATTAATTTTATTCTTCGTATTATTATTATCATCTTTATTATTTTTTTAATTAATTTTTTTTATTATTCTTATATTATTATTATCATTTTTTTTTTTGAAATTATTATTATTATTATCTTTATTATTATTATTATTATAATTCTTATTCTTTATATTATTATTATTATTATTATTATTATTATTATTATTATTATTATTATTATTATTATTATTATTATTATTATCTTTGTTGTAGAAATGTAAAAATTCTATATGGGATGATTGTATTTAATAAAATTAGGAAATTAGATAAATGAAGAACTAGAGGAATGGTGAATGGAAATTGGAAAATTGGAGAAATGGAAGAATGAAAACTGGAGATATGGAGAAATGGAAAAACAGAGAAACGAAGTAAACAACCCCAGGGTATCTTTGTCGGGAGTTTTCGATCACTTCTTTGTTGTGACATTTTGATGGATATCAGTGTTGTACTATGTTTACTTCTTAGTCGGTCATCAATCATGTAATTATTGTAAGTCAAGTATGCTTAACCACAAAGTTTTTAACTATCTAATTGTCATATCCTACTTAAAATCAATTGGTGATAAGTATGTGAACATTAACCATTTAACCGCATCCCTCTACGGCAAGCCACTGCGCCACGTCTCGAGCAGGGGTTGAACTAGGTTAACCCGACTGACGCCTAACAATTCCTCCCCAGCACTGTCGTAACCTTTGATTACCAAGTCCAATTGTGCAGTATGCCTAACTAGGTCCTTAACCTCCACATCCATTAATCCTTGTCTCGAGATTGGACTTGATTTCTATCCTGGGAGTGGTTGGCCCGACCTCCACCCACATTCCATCTGAGACTGAACTTGACTTTTGGTAAACCACAGTCCACAGCATCACGTCTCGAATCAAGCAGGGATTGAATTTGACCAATCCGACCTAACCCATTTACTCAACCATTTTCAACTCAATGGGTACCGCAAACACTAATATAATATAATATTCCAAAATTAATTGTGAAGCTAACTCACCCATTATTATTAGTGTTTATCATCATCACCAAATCACAACCTGACAACCTCTATTCTTGCCAAAAGAGAGCTTATATTAACCAATCCGACCTAACCAGAGAAAAATTATTCGTGCTTATGCAATTTTAAAAAAAAAAAAAAAAAAAAAAATTCTATCCTACTTCGTGTTCATATTAATTTAATGAATTAAATGTTCATTATTTAACTTTCATAAGTAAAGACGTAAACAATATATTGCAAAATTTTCATAGGTTTTTTTTTTTTTTTTTTTTTTTTTTTGGTGTATATAATAGTAACAAAATGGCTAACAATACTTTTTTCACATACGTGTTACAAATATGAAATATATAAGTGTAATCGATTGTACTACATGATTTCATTTCTAGTGTTACATTGTACCCAATATACATATATGCATGGTATTTTTTTTTAGTACAATCGACATTATTACAACGTAATATCTATTCAATATACTTTCTCTTTCAGTTATAAAAAGAATAGAGTCAATATCTACCACTCGATTTGATCTTGTAATCTTTCCCTCACAGAAAGTCACAGAAGAGCTAATTGACCACTAGATGCTTGACTGCATGGTTATACTTAGTACAGAGGACACCAATAACATTCCTTACCATAGAAGTTCTATATAATACGGAGTATTGTTTTTTATTTTTTTTTTTATTTTTTTTTTATTTTTAAGTTTAATGAAACAAAAGAACATTGGTCAGATGAACATGAAAATTGAAAATATTAAGTGAACTTTCGGCGTGTATTACTCCCACATATGATCTGCATATCAATTGGGTGCATGGAGAAAAAAATTGATAAAAATGATACCCTTAAAATTGATAGTTAGCCTATAAGTCATTTTAACTTATTTGATCATTATTAATTGTTTGATTTTGTTAAAAAATCAATATAAATGTTTGGTTAATTAGTTTTTTGTAATTCTAAAATGCAAAAATTCAAAGCAACGTTTTTCAATTAACTTTTGGAGAAAAGAAATTATACCAAACAAATATCAGCTAATAGCTAATTTACCAAATACTTTTCTACAATCCGCTAATGTTATGAACTAATTATACCCTCTAATTAATCCAACCAGCTAACAGCTGACAACTATCAGCTAACGTTCATTTACCAAACAGGGCCAATATGTCATAACATGGAAATACATGTATTAAACTCTCCACAACTTATTTTTATCAAGATTTTTTTTCTCGTAAGAGGTATTTGAGTGAGTAAAACATAACTCTCGTATCTTAAGGCCCAGCTCATTTAGTGTGAGTTGCGGATTATTACTCAGTGCATACACTCAGACAACGACTGAGGTTTCTTTTGTTATAAAAGAAAAAAAAAAAGATTTTTTAATATTTTTTTAATTTGTAAGTTGTTTATTAATTATGGTTATTTATTAAATCTAAATAATAACAGTCACACACACATACCAATATGTAAGAGTGGGGAAGAATTAAACATCATGCAGATTGCCTGCAATTCTTACATGAAAAGAAATCTGCCAAATACATTTAATTCTGCATTCAATATGGTCACGAGAGTCAATTAAGTGCAGTATCCGTGAATACAAACTGCATGCATTTGTCAATTCATCATATCTTTGCATTGCACTTATTGAAAAAAAAAACTCATAATACAACAAAAAACAGTCGTTATACCAGGCACCACGGCACACATAGCAATGTGCGCTCCGCGCCTCCCAAAACAACGTCGTTTTGTTAAGTTATGTGGGGAATTGACGCGACAGAATGTATGTGTATTATGTTATATAATTATGTACATTATGTTATACCATTATGTACATTATGTTATACAATTATGTATATTTTTTTATACAATTATGTACATTTTTTTTATACAATTATGTATTTTTTTTATACAATTATGTACATCAGAAACAGGAAATTTATGTGTATTATGTTAAGATTTTATGTGTATTATGTATTATGTTAGATTACGTGCATTATCTTTTCAAAAAAGAGTATGTGTATTTTTTTTATACAATTATGTACATTCTGTTATACAATTATGTACATTCTATTATACAATTATGTACACGGAAGTTAACAGCCGACACATGGAAAGCGAAATTTCCAAAAAAAAAAAAAAATACAAAACGACGTAATGTGCACCCTGGTGCACGATATAAATTGCCAACAAAAAGCGTTATTTCACAAATTGAGCCAAATTACACTAAAACACTAAATTCGATCAATTAGTTAGTCTAATGCATGATCTTATAAACCCATATATTCTATCTTTTATTTTCAATGTGAGATTTTTAACAAATGCTAAGTAGGAGATTACATCTTCAATTTTTATTCAACTCAAATACATGTGCCAAATAGTCATTTCTTATAACATGGACCAGGGTTCAAAATGCACTGTCGACCCTGATACATGTATATGTGTCTTATGTTGTGACTTTTTGTATCTTGTGTTATAAAATTATGTACTTTAAGAGTGAATTTTGTACCCAAAATAAAATAGTAATTATGTCTTATGTTATGAATTTCTATGCCTTGTGTTGTGAAATTCTGTACCTTGTGTTGCGAAATCTTGTGCCTATGAACACAAATTATGTACCTGATAGGGAATACTCACAGGGTATACCTCCCCTTTACGTGTCATACACCTGCTCGGTATTCAGTCAACTCACCGAAAGGGATCATTCCTGAGCATTATTGACCTGACCTGGTATGTAGGACTGAGCAAGGCTCGATCACCAGCATACACCTGCTCGGTATTCAGTCAGCTCACCGAAAGGGATCATTCCCGAGCATTATTGACCTGACCTGGTATGTAGGACTGAGCAAGGCTCGATCACCAGCAATACCTGACTGTATATTGGTTCACCCCAGCCATCTTAGGTCAGGATAGATCACCAAACCCTCTCTACTTAGAGCCTTGAGCCTTATTCATTTGATCAAACCCGATTGCAACGGACAAGATCAAGGAAGTTAGGAGTCTCGGTACACGTACGTGGTGGAATCGACGAAGCCTTGGACCTCCTCTTGTGCATGGGCTCCACATGTCACACGTGCCGGAGGACCGATATGCATGTGTTCCTTTCAAGCCTCCTATAAATACTAAAATACCTGGTTTGCTATTTAAACGTATGTGGGGAGGCAACTATATTTACACTATCAGTACCTAAATCATATATTTAAAAAAATAAGTAAATACGAAGTATATAACTTGTGTATGTGTTTTTATGATTTTTTTTTGTGTTTTGTGTTACGAAATTTTGTACTTTACGTTTCTGAATTTTGTACCTTATCGTTCCAATCTTGGATCCATAATGCTATGTGACCCTAGTCCATGATATAAATTGTCCCAAATATTAGTTGACAAAGGTGAAGGTTTATATATATGGTGTAATGCGTTCTGATCGAGTAGCTAATTATCCAATCCAGGAACTTATAATTGACATTCAACCAACTGTTAATGCGTTACATTACAAAAAAATTGTTACACTTTGAAGTAACTCTAGCTTTTTTTCATTTCTTAAATTTTAGTTTGAATTTTTCTGGCTGGAGTTGCTTAGCAATTTACCAACTATTCAAAATTGCTGGATTTTTTTAACACACTATAATATAATGCTCATACCTTGGAATAACGTCAACACAACAAAATTGACCACTGATACACATGTTGATTTCTAATGTTTTGTAAATTTATTTTAATTTGCAATACACACAAAAAAAAAAAAAAATTTACAATATACTAAAAATAAACTTGTATCAAAATATAATAAACAAATAAAAAAAATTATCATTGTAAAGTAAATTTCAAGTGCACAATATAATTTGTCACTATAATATTGATGGGCCCTAGAATTGGGCCAGTCATTATCACTCTCACACATAAAGACAAAGTCATTAGGAGCATAAATTATTGTATGGTAGTATGGTACATGCTCTACCCAATTGTGTGGACCATGAATATCAGGTACATTTTTAATATATTAAAAGTATGTTATTTTTATACTGAAGGTACATTATTTTTGTATTAAAAATACATTATATAAAATAATGTACTCTTAATATATTAAAAATGTACTTTCAAAAAATGTACCTTACGTACATAAATAATGTACCCATGGTCCATGCAATAATGATTGATTAGGAGGGATCTGATCTCGAGTACGAACTATGGAGTCTTCTTCAACAATCCACAAAATTCATCATGAAAAATTCTAAAGTGATGGTTAAAGTTACCATAAAAACAATGCTATATTATAGAAAAATTCTTGTGAAGTCTCAACCAAGTTGATTGAGTTCACTACAATTTTTACATTATTATAATTAAATTTAGTGTTTATTAACTGGATATTTAATTGGATGATCAAATTTAGAACAAAATTACTCCGTAGTAATAGTTAAGGGATTAATCATGGTTAAATTAAACGTCGGAAGATAAAAATTGATAAATGTCAATAATAATCATTCGTGGAATTAACTCTAGGAGAAGTATAGGTATGTAGCTAGAGTTCCTTTTTTTTTTTTTTTTTTTTTTTTTTTTAAATGTGTTCTCTCATAGCTCTCATCTCTCTCTAACTACTCCATAACAATATGAGTGTGAGTTCCAACCTCTAAGCGAACTATATAGATATAGAAATGACAATGGGTGTGTTTGGTTGGTGGGTTTTGCCCATAGGAATGGGTATGAAAGTGATTGTTGTTGTTTGGTTGATAGGTTTTTAGAACACTACTATGGGTTTCGAATACCCC